ACACATCACATTTCACGCTGTGGTACACAGATCCTCAAGTGGTATTTGCTTGTTTGTTTATTTGTCTGTTTGTTTAATACAGACATCTGAAGGGAATGTGATTGAATGTCACCATTGGCAGAGTTTGGAGCGTGCTCTTGGGAGTTCCTTCCTCTGTTCTTGGTAATTTTCCACACACGTGAAATGTTTATAAAAGCCTTGAGCTCCTGTCTGACTCCTTCCCTGCCTGGATCCACATCCCACAGGTTGGGAGTAGTGGAGTAACTGCCAACTCACCCCCAATCCCAGTGATGACTCCTTACATACCCCCCCGCTCCCCTTAAAGCGGCCACAGGAGGCCTAGCCTGAGGAAGGATTGCCAGATAATGGACCACCGTCTTCCCCCCAGATGGGGTGCTGGTGGCCCAGTACTCCCATTCCTGGAGAAGGAGCCCTGCAATTAGTGGCTCATCTGTGGAAGCTGCCCACATGGAGAATTCTAGTCAGAGAGGCATCTGAGTGCCGATTTGCTGGCCTACCTGCTCTGGCTCTCAAAGCTGATAGTGCGTGCCCACTGGGCCCGTGGATATGTCAGCAGTGTTTCTGGAACCCCATGACCCCATGCAGCCCTAAAGCCATGGGGCTGGGCTGGAGTGGGACAGCAATGGCTTGGCTTTACTTCTACCTAATTCCCTCCTCCAAAGACAAAACCAGTTAGTGCAGAGATGGCTCAGTGATCAAGGGTGCTTGCTGCTCTTGCAGGGGCTGGAGGGCTGGAGTTCCATCCCTCACATCCATGTTGGATGGCTCACAGCCTCCTGTAACTCGAGCTCCAGTGGATCTGAATCCCTCTTTCTGGATTCTAAGGATACCCACATGCAGATACATTCAGTCATACGCACATGCATCTTGACCATTTTTACAACAAAATTATTTTAGTGAGGGCCAGTCATGGAAGTTTCTGGCCCACTATCAGTTAAAGGGCTTTTTGCTTTAATTAAAAGTTTAAAAATTTTTTAAAAAGTTTAAAACACTTATTCAATTAGTGGGGGACAGGATGCCGTGGTGCAGGTGCGGAGGTCAGAGGGCAACTAGCAGGAATCGATTCACATCTTCTAACATGTGGGCGTCAGGGATTGAACTCAGGTCCTCAGGCTTGGCAGTATATCTATGCCTTTACCCACTGAGCCATCTCTCTGTAGCCCAGGTTACCCCTTCTCTCTTACCCTTGGAAGGCATCTAGGTGGGCGGGTTTCTCTCTTTGAACTCTGTGTACCCCCCACTCTCTTCCAGGCTTCTTAGAAGATGATAGTCCACCTGTGTCTTCCTGTCGCTCTAGAGTTCACCGCCCCCCTTTCTAGCCCACCCCCGACTTTGACTTCCTTTAAGATTTCTCTTTTTTCTGGGTTTTCTGCTGTTTGAATGTGATATGATTGTGCTTATTCTTTGTTATTTATGAGATTGTACACTTGTTAGACACCTGCATCTATCTTTTGCCAACTGTTATATATACATTTCAGAAGACTTGACCATTTTTTTTTTGTTTTTTTTGTTTTTGGTTTTTCGAGACAGGGTTTCTCTGTGGCTTTGAAGGCTGTCCTGGAAGTCACTTTGTAGACCATGCTGGCCTCGAACTCACAGAGATCCGCCTGCCTCTGCCTCCCGAGTGCTGGGATTAAAGGCGTGTGCCACCAACGCCCGGCAGACTTGACCATTTTTACCTCAGATGTTTCTTCTCCCTTCTCCCTTTATTCTCTTTCTGGTTCCCAATTTCCCATGAAGGGGAGCTTTTGAAATGTCCTTAGCTGTTTGTCCCTTATTTTTGTCCCTCCTTGTCGATCAGTCTTGAAGTACACAGATGCTGGTTCCTCAGCAGCGTTTAATCTGAGGCTTTCACCTGAGGCCAAGAGCACTAGTTGTTCCTCCAGAGGACCAGAGTTTGCTTCCCAGCACACCCATGGTGGCTCACAACTGTCTATGACTCCAGGCCCATCTCTTCTGGCCTCCCAGGCACTAGGCCTATGTGTGGTGTATAGGCATGTACGCAGGCAAAACACCCATACAAAAATGAACATAAGCCGGGCGTTGGTGGCGCACGCCTTTAATCCCAGCACTCAGGAGGCAGAGGCAGGAGGATCTCTGTGAGTTTGAGGCCAGTCTGGTCTACAAAGTGAGTTCCAGGACAGCCTCCAAAGCTACAGAGAAACCCTGTCTCAAAAAACCAAAAAAAAAAAAAAAAAAGAACATAAAACCCGGCACATTTTTATCTCTGTTACAATGTCTTTTGTTTCTACTATGTCTTTAACTATTTATTTACTTGTGCATCAGTGTGTGTGTGTGTGTGTGTGTGTGTGTGCAAGGGGAGGTTCAGAGGAAAACTGTGGGAGTCAGCGTTTCCATATGCGGGTCCCCGAGATTGAATTCAGGTTGTCAGGCTCGACGGGGAACATATTATCCTAATGAGCTGTCTCACCAGTCCTGTAGTATCTTTCTTTAAAATTTAACTTTATTTTATGTTAATCAGTGAGAAGATGTCATATTCCCCTGGAACCAGAGTTACAGACAGCAGTAAGCTGCCATGTGGGTGCCAGGAAGCTGGGAACTGAACCCTGGTCCTCTGGAGGAGCAGCCAGTGGTCTTAACCACTGAGCCATCTCTCCAGCTCCCCTCTATTACATCTTTCAATCTTGCTTTGTTTTTCATTTATTTTGCTGGCCTGGAACATACCAAGTAGGCTAGGCTAGCTGGCTAGAGAGCACTGGAATTATAGGCGTATGCCATCATGCCTGGTCCCCCCCCCCCGTGGGTTCTGAGATTGAACTCAGAGCTTCATCCTCGCAAGGGAAGCCCTTCCTCACCATGCTGTCTCTGTAGCACCTTTAATTTGCTTTTGCAAAGAATGTTTGGCTGGGGATGGAAGCCAGGGCCTCCCCCAGGCTTGGCCTTCCACTCCCCTATCTGATGGCTACGTCCGTGTTTACATCACCCGTCTCTTCCCCCACAGTTCCCTGTTTACAATGGAGTCTCAATGTCTGAGTCATGGTTTTCCCGAATCCCCTGTGTCATCGCACTAGCATGTGTGTCGTGGAGGTTTGGCCTCTTGGGTCAGACTTCTCTTCAAAGCTTGCTTCACGCCTTGGTTTGTTTGTTTGCTTGCTTGTTTCTTTCTTCTGGAGAGCAGATGTGCTGTCCTGAATGACATAAACGGAGGGACACAGAGCTTTGGAGTGAGGACATAAATATGGATCTAGCTAGGGTTTAGCAGCTAATGGGTGCTAGAGGCCTGAAGCATGTCTACATAGTTGCTCCTTGTTTCCTGAGGTTCCTATGCGTCTTTTCAGATAAAAGATGTCCTTCAGCAGTCACCTGCTGCTACACCTGAGCCTGCTGCTACACCGGAGCCTGCTGATGGGGAGAGGGGTGTCTATAACCCTGCTGATGGGGAGAGGGATGTCTATAACCCACGTGGAGCCTGCTGATGGGGAGAGGAGATGTCTATGTCTATAACCCTGCTGATGGGGAGAGGGGATGTCTATGTCTATAACCCTGCTGATGGGGGGGAGGGGTGTCTATAACCCTGCTGATGGTGGAGAGGGGATGTCTATAACCCACATGGAGCCTGCTGATGGGGGGAGGGGTGTCTATAACCCACATGGAGCCTGCTGATGGGGAGAGAGATGTCTATAACCCACGTGGAGCCTGCTGATGGGGAGAGAGATGTCTATAACCCACGTGGAGCCTGCTGATGGGGAGAGGGGTGTCTATAACCCTGCTGATGGTGGAGAGGGGATGTCTATGTCTGTAACCCTGCTGATGGTGGAGAGGGGATGTCTATAACCCTGCTGATGGTGGAGAGAGGATGTCTATAACCCTGCTGATGGGGAGAGGGGATGTCTATAACCCTGCTGATGGTGGAGAGGGGATGTCTATGTCTATAACCCTGCTGATGGTGGAGAGGGGATGTCTATAACCCACGTGGAGCCTGCTGATGGGGAGAGGGGATGTCTATAACCCTGCTGATGGGGAGAGGGGATGTCTATAACCCTGCTGATGGTGGAGAGGGGATGTCTATAACCCATGCCCCCGGGCTGCAGCCCTCACACTGTGTCTGAGTGGACTGTCTACTTACTGAGTCAGCAATACAAAGGCTGCCTTCTCTCCCTCGTGGAGAGTCCCAAAGCCATTTCTCCTGGAGAACCCTCTTCCCTCTGCCTGCCAGGACCACGAGGGGGCGTTCCTGGTCCTTCCCCAGGACCCTGGATGGGTGCCTGGAGGCAAACTTGCAAGAGTGTGACCCTAAGATTGTGCGTGCCACCCCTAGCTTCTCGCTCATCTTCATCCCCACCCAGCCTCCAGGAATGTTCCCAAGTGGTGTATTATCCTTCCCCTATTCTGCCCGCCAGCCCGGGACAAGGGAGTTGTGGCCATGGCCTTCCCTACCTGTGCCTCCATTTTCCAGGGGCTCTGAGATCGCCAGGCACTTTGTGTGGTCACCCAAGTCCTGGGACCATGTTTTCCAGACTCCTAATCTGCCTTCCATGTCGGGCTCAGCCTATAACCCTGACCGGAGCAGGAGGAGGCAGAAGTGGGGTGCTCCTCCCCTGCTGTCTGCCCCTCATCATCTGACAGGGCCTGCCTTCCCCTCATGCCCCCGAGAGTCCAGCAGCAGCAGCTGCTGGTCATAGCTTCTTGTCTCTGGCCACCTCCTGCCACCAGGGACTTTGCGGGCCACCGCCGCTGCCACAAAACTCCATGTTGTGTCAACTGTCCCCCTCCATGGCTTCTCAACCTCCTTGTCATCCACCAGTTGTGGGTTAAGTATGCTCTCTCTTAAATGCTTAGAGATGAGATATTTGCTCTTATGTGAAGACCTTGACTCATCGCTGCCACCCCAACCCCCTCTGAGGCTCCAACCACAGCTCCGCGGAATCCAAGCAACCCTAACCACACTAACCAACTCTGGCAGACAGACTGCCACAGGCCAGTTCAAAGAGACAGCAGAGAATGGGTGTCTAGCTCGGTGGTGGAGACCATGTGAGGGCGTGTGTGACAGAACAGATAGGAAAAGCCAGCGCTGGAGCCCTCCTGGGCAGGTGCCAGGGTTTGGGGTATTATGGGATTCCGGGCCCGTGAGGCAGTGTAATACGTGTGAACTTGGGATGAAGCTGAGGCACATGTTGCGGGTGGAGAGTTCCATGACCCGGGGAGGACAGGAGCCTGGGCAGGGCCAAGGATGGACCGTGAGGGTGCTGCCTCTTCCCTCCTACCGCGGGCTCAGGCTTCACTTCTTGTGAGGTCCCAGGCAACATCACCTGTCTTTTGCGCCACACCTCCATTTTTAAACACTCTGCTAAAGTTCCTGGCTCAGAGGTGGGACTACAACCCGGAGTCCCTGCTTTGGGCTTTGGGTTTCTTGCTCCTTGGCGGCTAAGTAGCGTCTGTCCCAATAGAGGAAGCTGAGACTCAGAGGTGAAACTGGGCAACGGGGTTTCCCTGAAGCCAGGCCACTGCCCCTGTTGGAAAGGCTCTGGGCCAGGAGGAGGGGGCTGCCCGCAGAGCGGGAGCCAGGCTGTGTCGCGCTTTTCCAGTCCTGCAGAGTGCTCCCAAGCAGAGGTGACTCCAGCGAGAGGGGTGCCCGGATTCAAGGCCTGCGGGGCGAGTCCACCAGCTTCCCCACGAGCGAGGCGAGGAGGCGGGCGCTCGGGGGCGCGGCCCGCGGCTTATGGGGGGCGCGCCTGCGGGGCTGGCTGGCCTTCTTTCTGCTTCTCCCTGTGCAGACCGCCAGGCGGATGGCGGGGCGACGGGCTGTGGCCGGGATCGGGCCCGGGGCGCTGCTGGCTCTGCGTGCTCTGCTGGCCGCCGCTCACCCGCAGTGCCTGGACTTCAGGCCGCCCTTCCGGCCGCCGCAGCCGCTTAGCTTCTGCGTGCAGTACTCCTCCTTCGGCTGCTGCACCGCGGAGCAGGACGCGGCGCTGGCCCGGCGTTTCCGGGCCCTGGAGACCCGCCTGGACGCCGGGATGTGGGCGACGTGTGCCGGCTACGCGCTGGATCTGCTGTGCCAGGTGAGCGGGCTCACGGCGGACAAGCACGCGGGGCCCTGGTCGCCTGGAGGCGGAGAGGTGATGGTATCCTCATAAAGGCAAGACTCAAGAGTGGGTCTGGATTTTGAGGAGATGGCAGCCCCACAGGGGCGAGGCTTAAGAGTGGATCTTGGACTTTGGAGGTGATGGCGACCCTACAGGGCCGAGGGCTAGGAGTGGGTTCTGGGCTTTGGAGCTTGGGTGTGACTTGACCCCAGGCCGGGCCAAGTGACCGGGCATCCCAGGACAACTCTTGTCATTCATTTGTTTTGCAAAAATGTTGAACCTTTTCGGGGCCTCAGTTCCTCTCAAATACTAAAGACTCCCGTTCTCTGGGATGCCCTGGAATCTGCCCTCAGTAACCCACCTCAGAGCTCTCTGCCCCTGTCAGGTTCCAGGGAGAAGTGTTTGTTAGACCAAAGAAGGCAGGATGGAGAGGATGTGGCCAGAATATGGGGCGTGGCTGTGTGGGCGGCCTGGGCACTGCTGTCCCGGGGAGAACCCTTCCTCTGTCAGACCTAATGGAGCAGCCCGAGAGCCCATTTGTCAGGGCCAGGGTGAACCAAGGCCTGCAGGGTCGTTGGTGCTTAAGACACCACCTTTCTGTTCTGCTACTGGCCCGGCTCCTCCTCCGGGAGAGGCTCCCCCAGACCTCGTTAACTCATCTCCCCTCTGACGGTGGAGTCCTTACTTCAATCCACACCGAACTCCCATTTTCCTTTTGTTAACGTGGAGTGTCTGACTACAAGCCCCTGGGTCTCCCCTGAGCCATTGAGCCGATGGCAGGAATGCCAGCCCGGCAGGGAAACCCTGACCTAGGATTGTGAAGTGAAGGAATTCATCAGTGGAAGGGTCCCCACCGGCAGTACAAGGTTCAAGTCCCAGCCAGCAGGGGGCAGGCTAGGGAAGAGAGAGAGAGAGAGAGAGACAGAGAGAGAGAGAGAGAGAGAGAGAGAGAGAGACAGAGAGAGAGGGAGAGACAGAGAGAGAGAGAGAGAGAGAGAGAGAGAGACAGAGAGACAGAGACAGAGACAGAGAGACAGAGAGAGACAGAGAGAGACAGAGAGAGAGACAGAGGGAGAGAGACAGAGAGAGACAGAGAGACAGAGAGAGAGACAGAGAGAGAGAGGGAGAGAGAGACAGAGAGAGAGACAGAGAGAGAGACAGAGAGAGACAGAGAGACAGAGACAGAGAGACAGAGAGAGACAAAGAGAGAGAGAGAGAGAGAGAGAGAGAGAAAGAAGGAGGGAGGGAGAGGAGGGCAGATACCACCGCCTCTCCTGATTGTGAACTTGAGAGACTCATGGTAGTCTTTCCGTTACATTATATTTAAAATAGGGACAGATTTCTACCCATGACCCCAGGCCATGAAGACTAAATGACAGGTAGAGTGGTTCAATGGGGGTTTGTAGATGAATTCCTCTGTTGCTGGTCCAGGGACAGTGTGAGAATCTGGGGCCGTTTCAGGAACGGTGGGCATTTACTTGTAGAGGGGTCACATGGCTCGGTGGTAAAAGGGTACCCGGGTGACAAAAAGTACTGTAGGTGAGGAGAGGGTGTAGGGACAGCACAGTGCTCTAGGGTGTTTTGCTCATGTACTGTAGGTGAGGAGAGGGTGTAGGGACAGCACAGTGCTCTAGGGTGTTCTGCTCATGCACTGTAGGTGAGGAGAGGGTGTAGGGACAGCACAGTGCTCTAGGGTGTTCTGCTCACGTTGTAGCTATCAAGCACCCACCTTGTATGTTTCAAGAGAGTCGGACAGTATGGTGGACCACCCGCCTCTCTCCCCAGCCTGGAGGTCTACCCCAAAAGGACCACTGGTCTCCCTGCAGCACCCAGGTCAATAGCAGGGATGCCTGCTTAGAAGGTACTCACACTAGGCTCAGCATGGCAAAGGAGATGGACAGGACCAGGGAGGAGGAAGGAGCCAACCCTGAGGCTGTTTGCTGGCAGGAGGTGCCTCTTTTTCCTTGGGAACCTGCCCAAAACGGCCTGGCCTGAGCAGCCTGTGGTAGAGTGTCTGCTCACACCTCCAGTGAGGCGTCTGTGAGGGTGACCTCATGTCTGGACTGAGCTTGCATCAGGAGGCCTGCCAAGGCTGTGGCATGGTCTCCCACTCTGGGGGGGTCATGGCAGGGTGTGGGAGCACCATCTTCACTGTGACCAATCTCAAGGAGCCATACCCACAGGCTTCCAGCAAGGGCCATTCAGGACTCACGGCTGCCTTGCAGAGGCAGGAGGCTCTTTCCTGAGGCTTTGCCCTCCTCTGGGAAAATATGCCGGATGCTGGTTGCACATGGCAACCCCAGTGTGGCTGGTGTGTTGCTCTCACGTGGCCGACGTCCCTGTAGCTGAGTGCGTGAATTCATCAGTGGAGTTTCCGAATAGTGACAGTGCTTAATAGGCTCATGCATTCAGCAGACATGTCTCCAGGGCCATCCAGGAGTTGGTTCTGTGCTTCTGGGTCCAGGGGCAGTTGGCAAGTCACAGACTTAGCTTCCAAAGCCTCTCCATTCATTTCAGGAGGAAGGCAGACAGGACATGCAACCAAGAGACGTCCCCCCAAGGTACCAGGGCAAGTAGCGAAAAGCCATCGGAAATCTGGGATAGCCTGAAAGAGTGACCATTGGGTTACTCCCTCGGGGTTCATCTTACTGAACATTTACCGAGCGAGCACGTGGTATCTCAGCTCATTGCTCCCGACAGCTGTATGAGGTTGGAGTGCTTTCTCCCTTTTGTAGATGGGGACACAGGCACGGAGAGGCAAGGAGTTTGCCAGACACGTGGAACACGAGCTCTGGCTCCAAAGCCCTTCCTGTGGCCACTGTACAACATTGCCGCCAGCCCCGAAGCCTAACCACGTGCTGGATCCTGAGATGTCCGCCCCAAGGGGCCCCACAGTCTGTGGGGTGGACAGACAGGCAAAGAGACAATTGAGTCATGGCCAGGCAGAGCATCCAGGCCACCTCTGGTGAAGCAGAGGTGATGGCAGAAGAGGGAGGTTGCTTCTGGAAGTGACAGATTACCAGGTGAAAGCTCTACGTGTGAGTCAGAGATAGTGTCGTGAGCATCCAAGAGGCAGGAGCCTGGGTAAGGAGGAAGGAGTAGACTTGTGGGTTGAGCCTTGCATCATGAATAGGAGTTTGCCAGATGTGGAAGTAAGGGAGGAGGAAACATCCCACAGAGGGAACATTGTGTACAAGACTCAGTCTTCCTGGCTGGGTGCGGGGGTGGGGGGGCAGGGGTAAGAAGCTTTGGGACTTGAGGTGGTGAGTCATGAGTCACTGGTCTGTGGCAACACTGGGGCCATCAGGTGGCAGGTGCCTTGTTCCTGTGGATGTTTCACTGGCTATCCCTGAACAGGAGGTTCAGTGACTGCCCACCCTCTCTAGCCGCAATTACTGACCCCTTTTGTCATTTATTAATTTTGGATGGTGATGCTGAAACGATAAACGGCACACTTGCTAAAAGTAAAGTAAGTATTTATTGTAGAAATTACCCACAAGAGACAAACAAGTAGCCGGGCGTTGGTGGCGCACACCTTTAATCCCAGCACTCGGGAGGCAGAGGCAGGTGGATCTCTGTGAGTTCGAGGCCAGCCTGGTCTACAAAGCGAGTTCCAGGACAGCCTCCAAGACAATACAGAGAAACCCTGTCTCGAAAAACCAAAAAAAAAAAAAAAAAAAGAGAGAGAGACAAACAAGTAACCCAGATGAGCCCAGTAGTTTTCTACCGCCGAACTGGAAGCAGGATAGCCAGAAAAGAGAGAGAGACGTCCGCTGTTCAGTCTTTTATTCCTTCCTCCGTAACGTCCCTAGCCCTGCCCAAAAGCGGGCCTGGCTAGTGATATAGTTCACCACCTATGTCCGTATATGTCTTTAGTCATGCCTAAAGTGGGTGTGGTTAGTGGTGTGGTAAACCGCCCTTTTATTACCTCATCTGTGTGTGCCTCTAATATGCCACATGGTTAATGGTGGAACACGGTTTCCTCCTACAGGGTGGCCCTTGTCTGAGCCTCACATTTACACTGTGTATAAGACACTGCTAGACTCAGTGGTTACTATGTAGCTAGATGGCAAGGTCCCTGCCAGGTCCCCGGAGCCCCTGTGCCTTCCATGTGTTCTGGTTGAGTTTTCACAAGGAGAGGGCTATCAGGTCATAGCCTATCTCTACGGTGTCTTTGGAGCCAAGGCCAGTGCCTGGTAGTCTGTGCTCCCCCGAGGGAAGTGAAGAGTCAGTGTAAGGGGTGCAAAGCTGGCTGCAGTCATAAAGTTTGGGGGTGAGCCCTGGTCTGGCCAATTCTTGGCATGTGGCCATGTAGCCTAAGTTCTTCATCTATAACACTGGGGTCACAGTGACACTGCCCCGCAGAAAGGAAGTGAAGCCTATGTGTGCACTGTCCTCTCGTCTTCCCTTGGCTGCCGCTGGCCCACGGCGGCGTCCAGAGGATCACAAGGGCGTTGGCAATACACAGGCTGAGGTTTGGCCATCTGGCCTGTCATACACAGAATGCAGAGTGGAGCATATGAAGGATGACACTTCAGATGGGGACAGTGACAGATCAGGGATGCCAAGAACACACGGGGTCCTCAGTTGGTCAGGTGGGACTCAGCCCACAGCAGTAGAGGGGCCAGGGGACAGGTCATGGAATGACTGAAGTTCTAACAGTAGGGAGCCCTTGGCCTGGAGTCAGGAACCCAGCTCTGGGGTTAGCTGTCCTCTTGCTTCCCACCGAGGTCTCCTGCTACAACCCAGCCTGGTTTCCTGGTGAGAGCAGCGAATGTATAGCTGTCATTGTCTTCTCTATCTAGGAACTGCATCTGGAAGGATCCAGAACTGAGTCAGCCCTGGGCTTGAGGGACATAGCAACAAAAGTCTGTCACACCGGAGGAAAGTAATCACAGTGGGAAGGACTCCACAAAAGATTCTCCCCGGGTTTTGGACTGTTCTGCTGCAGGTCCAGCGGGGAGATGGTCTGGGGAAGGGCCGTGTGATTGACTCCAGCAGGACCGGCTTCATGGCAGGGCTGTCTAGGGCAGGGTGGGAAGCAGCTGTCTCACCTAGCCTCACTCTCCTGTTTGTGGTCGTAGGCTTGCCCTGAGACTCTCCTCCCACGCGGTGTGCATGGGGGCCTAAGTGAGGTCCATGGCAGAAAAGGTGATGAGTTCTACCAAGGCAGAGCTGGGGAAAGGACCCTGGGAGCCCTTCCGGTCAGGCCGTGCCCTAGGAGATTCATTCATCTCCTAGACTACTGTGTCAGTAGCTGCCGTGAGGACAGCTCCAGGGTCCCGCTGGAAGGAGTTGGGTCTGAGGGCAGAGTAGATGGTCTGGGATGTCCTGGAAGACACAGGCTTGGGCTCACCTCACATAGGTGCTATGCCCATGTTGGCTGCCTGGTTATGGAGACAGTAGGCTACCCCTGAGACTAAACTCAGGTGCCCCCATATGCTACTAATCCGAGCATATTGTTGAATAACACTGGGGGCCCTGAGCCTCAGTCCCACCCCCACCCCCCGTGAAGTACTCATAAACATTAAATGAATAATAGTGTAGGAGTGTTTTGACACAGGCGCACTGAGGCTGGCAAGGTAGGGTATTTTTCCCCGTCCCTCACCATTTGCTGTGGCCTACTGTGTCCTGGGCTTATGTGAGGGTCTGGGACACAGCAATGCAGATCAACAATTGTTGCTCTGATAAACTACATCCTGAAGAAGACGAGTAATATGCAAACAATATGGTATAGACAGGGTTCATGGTAAGGTTTTTTTTTTTCGCGGGGGGGCTTTGTTTTCCTAAGTAATCTGAGGCCAGGAAGTAATGGCAGGGAGGGCTAGAAAGGAAGGTTAGATTTTAGGAGGTGGCCCTTGTACAGAGACACAAAACGAGGAGTCAATTGCGCAGGCGCGTGCTCCCCTCCTGCCATCGCTGAGCCCTCCTGTCTCTACAGGAATGCTCACCGTATGCAGCACACCTCTATGATGCCGAGGATCCGGCCACCCCACTGAGGACAGTGCCTGGCCTGTGCGAGGATTATTGCCTAGACATGTGGCAGACCTGCCGAGGCCTCTTTCGACACCTCTCCCCTGACCGTGAGCTCTGGGCCCTGGAGAGCAACAGAGCCAAGTTATGCCGCTACCTGTCCCTAGATGACACCGATTACTGTTTCCCAAGCTTGCTGGTCAACGAGAACCTGAACTCAAACCTGGGCCGTGTAGTGGCCGACGCCAAGGGCTGCCTGCAGCTGTGTCTGGAGGAGGTGGCCAACGGTCTTCGAAACCCCGTTGCCATGGTACATGCCGGGGACGGCAGCCACCGCTTCTTCGTGGCGGAGCAGGTGGGGCTGGTGTGGACCTACCTGCCTGACCTCTCTCGCCTGGAGAAGCCCTTCCTGAATGTGAGCCAGGCAGTGCTCACCTCACCCTGGGAAGGGGATGAGCGTGGCTTTCTGGGCCTTGCCTTCCACCCCCATTTCCCACATCCCAGAAAGCTCTACGTCTACTACTCTGTGGGGGTCGGCTTCCGAGAGTGGATCCGGATCAGCGAGTTCAGAGTCTCGGGGGACGACGAGAACACCGTGGACCACGGCTCAGAGAGGTGGCTTCCCGGGAGCCCCAGCCAAGGGAGTGATCACGTGGGGGGTGGGCGGTGTGACACCATACACACACAGTTGTGGCTGCATGAGCAAGAGTTTCTTAAACACTGTGAGTAGTCAACACCCCCGTGTGGGCCTGAATCACGTGCTGTGGGGCCTGGGGAAGAATGATTTTGCAAAACAGATTTGCCTTGGGGTCATGTCCTGACCCCTGCCTCTGGCCTCCTGGGCCAGACACTTAGCTCTGTTCTGCTGCAGGCTCTAGAGACAGTTATTTCATCTGACTCATAAAACGGGATGAGGTCACAGCTCAGAGGGGGAAGATGGCTTGTTAGGTCACACAACTTGGAAGGATCCAGGCTGGAGTGCTGGTCTGTTTGCAGAAGTACATCCTGTCACCGGGCCTGCCGGACTGTGGTCCAAAGTTACCATTCCTGCCCCTATAGCCAGCATCTCCCCCAACCCGTGTCTTCAGGCAGCTGGGGCTCTCTCTCCTGCCCCAGTCTCCCCCCCTCTCTCTCTGCCTCTCTCTCTCTCTGCCCCTCTCTCTCTCTCTCTCTGTCTTTCTGTCTCTGTCTCTGTCTGTCTGTCTGTCTCTCCAGGGTCTTGTGTAACCCAGGCTGACGTGGAAACTCATATTAATCTGCTCCTACCCCTAAGTCCCACAGTGCCTGTAGAACCTACTCTTTATTATTTATGCCCCAACTGTTCTAAGGGAAGTTGATCTGGCTTGGCCGCCTGTTCCAGAGACTCTCTCAGGCAGAAGTGGACACTGAAGAAGTCTTGGTTGGTAGTGTTGGAAGGACGGTCAGGGAAAGGAGGCACTGGAGGAAGTTGCCTCCTCCTCTTCCTGAGGGACCCAGGGGGAAGTGAGGCCCCAGAAATGTGGGGTATGATGTCTGGTTTGGGGCCATCCAGACTGGAGCCATGGGGGAAGGGCAGCTATTGTCTAGATATTGCGAGTAACACAAACAAAAACACCAGCCCCACTCCTGGCTCCCCTAACGCCTTGTATTGGCTGAGATTGTTTGGCTAGCAAAGGAGCATGGGAAATGTAGTTCAGCGATGCTGCCAGTCTCTACCCTCAAGTGAAGAGCACCAGGAACAAGGCCTGGCTCAGGCGTGTTGGTGAAAAGGCAAATAAAAGGACACTGTGTATTCGATGAAACCGTGAAATGTTGACATGGGGCAAACTAAAAAGAGAAACAGCCCAAAACAGCAGCTTTGAGGGCTGATCGACATCTTATAGCAATTAATTTGGAGTTATCTGGCAGCCGGGAGGGGGCGGGGGAGGAAAACAGAATTTTCATTATTGTACCCAGGCCTGTGAGACCACTTTTCGGCTGGAGGAAGTTTGTCCTATGGACTAGACAGAGGGAGATGGAGGGTGAAATGTGAGTTAAGAGCATTCGCTACTCTTCCAAGTCCAGTGTCCAGCACCCACACAGAGCAGCTCATAACAGCCTATGGCTCCAGTACCAGGGGATTTGATGCCCTCTTCTGACCTCCAATGCATGGCAGAGGTACACACACACACACACACACACACACACACACACACACACACACGAATAAAACAAATTATTAAAGAGATCCTGGATTCAGAACATGAAGTATACAGATTCACACATTTTAGCCTGAAGCTTTCAGTAAGGTTCCTCTGGGCACATCACCCAGAACCTGACTCACTCAGAGGGAGAAGTTGATGTGGCTGGCGGGCTGGCAGAGCCAGGAGTGAGCCATCATCGGTAACCAAGGCAGTTGTCAGAGTCTTCCCATGGCTGGAGGAGGTGGGTGACCAGCAGTCTGAGCTGTCCTCTGCTTTGAGAACCCTGAGTTTGGGGCTCTGTAAGACATATGCCGTCAACCTCACCATGGAAAAGCTCCAGTGTTGGTGACGAGGGAAGTACTCAGGATCTGAATCTAAAGACTTTGACTCTGTGTCTTGTTTTTTTGTTTTTGTTTCTGCTGTTTTCATAGGGACAATGAGGTCAATGCAGTGGCTGGTCCTGTTGAACCTGAATGTTCTGGGACTCATTTTATTGGTGGTGGGGGGCTTTAGTACAGGGAGTTAACCATGGGGCTGGAAAGAGCGGTGGAGGGCAGTTACCTAAGACTACTGACTGCTGTATGTGGCATCTATTGTGGTGGAGGAAACAACTGGAGAAGTTTGTGTGGCTGGGTTCTGTCATTGGCTGGGATGTCCGCAGTGGTCACTCCCGTACCGTTATCTCTATATCTATACTCTCATATCGTATGCCTGCTGCTTCTCAAGACAGAATGACAGTGCCTCCTTTCATCTTGCCTTCCTCCATGTGTGGGAAGCCCTGATGGAAAGCCAGTGAGTGACTGGGTACAGGGAAGGCTTCCTCCAGTGACAGGAAGGAGGTCCCAGGGTGTGTGGATAGAGGGCCCATTCCACCGCCCTGAGCAGCTCATCACTAACAATCAAGGAAGCATGTCAAATGCGTTCTGCTCCACCAGTGAGAAACAAGATACGATAATGGAGAAGATGGCAAGCTTCCATCGGGTACCAGGGATGGATGGGTAGAAAGCAGTTGATAAACACTGGCCCAGAGTCCTGGTCCCAGCTGGGATGCTGATGGCCTTTGTGCCCTCCAGTGGGTCACTCAGCTGCTTCGAGCATCCAGGTCCTTCCTCGACACAGTGACATGAATGGTCCCCACTCAGCCTATAGGTCCTTGTGAAAGATGAAGTTAAGAGTCTTTTACACTGCGAAATGGCATCTGAGAAAAGTTTTACTGCTCTTTGGGGATTACCATTTGGAAGGTGTTTTATTGAGGGGCTACTTATCTCTCTTTAGGATAATCCTAGAGATTGAAGAACCAGCCTCCAATCACAATGGGGGCCAGCTGCTCTTTGGGGATGATGGCTACCTCTACATCTTTACTGGAGATGGCGGGATGGCCGGAGATCCCTTTGGGACGTTTGGAAATGCGCAAAACAAGTATGTGCCGCCTCTGTTCTGCTGGGGCGTTGGTCTGCACACAGAACTTCTTACGTGTTTCCATAAGGAGAGCTACCGCCCCTACCACACAGGGCAGGATGGTAGCCTGCCTGCGGTTAGCGGGGATCCCACCTAAGTCGCTTACCTCCATTGATTAGCAAAGATGACAAGCTCAGTGGGAGACTGTCATGAGGAAAGGAGGTACCAGTGGTAGTCAAAGGTCAGGCACAGTGCCCATTGTCACAAATACCCGGGAGGTGACAGTAGTGAGCCTGCGGGAAGATAGGACTTTCTCTAAGGTAATCCCTGGCCTGTTGGGCCTTGCTGGGGTAAGGCAGGTATTCCCATGACAAAGGGGGAGCTGGGGTAGGTCTGCTACTCCCATAAGACAAGCTGAGTGCAATCCATCTTCGTTTATGTATTTCCTGGTTTGAGCATATGGCCTGGTCTCCTTTCGTGTGTGTGTGTGTGTGTGTGTGTGTGTGTGTGTGTGTGTGTGTGTGTACAGTTCTCCTGAACCACAAGCTTGATGGAGGCTTGTCCTAGCTCTGGTGCCTTCTAACGTAGGCAGCCCGGATCTGAAAGGTCAGCTGTGAGGAGGCAACGCAGGGATAAGTGATGAATTAGGGCTTCCAGCAGGGCTTGCTGCCCAGCGAGTGTGGGACAGACACGCCGGAGGGTGTGCAGAGAGAGCCGGTGTAGATGGCTGAGCAGGGTTGGGCTCAGGGATGGCTTACCCTTTCTGTCCCCGCCCCGTGAACCCAGTGTAACCAGCGCTCTCCGCCCCGGTCGCAGGTCGGCGCTGCTGGGCAAGGTGCTGCGCATCGACGTGAACCGCAACGAGCGCGGCTCACTCTACCGTATCCCGCCCGACAACCCGTTCGTGGACGACCCCGGAGCGCGGCCCGAGGTCTACGCCCTGGGCGTGCGCAACATGTGGCGCTGCTCCTTCGACCGCGGAGACCCGATGTCTGGCACTGGCCGTGGCCGCCTGTTCTGCGGGGACGTGGGCCAGAACAAGTACGAGGAGGTGGACCTGGTGGAGCGGGGCCGCAACTACGGCTGGCGTGCTCGCGAGGGCTTCGAGTGCTACGACCGCAAGCTGTGCACCAACGCCTCCCTCGGTGACCGCGCCCCTGGGGACCTCCAAATAGGATCCTTTTGGTCCCCCCCTCCCCGGCCCCGACTAGATCTGCCCCCAACTCTCCCCTGCTCAGACCCTCGACATGGGTCCAGTCTGTCCCATTCCATCCCCTTGGGGACTTCCCAACTGGGATCAGCATTCCTCCAGAACCCCAAACCTAGGTCCACCATGCTCCACTCCTCCCTGGGCTTGCAGAGCCAGATGAGCCTCTTCCCTCTGGGGAACTCCAATCCACATCCGACCCCTTCCACTCTACTGAGTGACCCCATGGGGACCTCCTGCCTTCCTCCCTCCCTCCCTGGACGCCCCACCTTACTGCCTTCCCCACAACCAAATAGCATTGTCCCCTGCCTCTTTCACCGGACTGCCTTCCCACTGCTGACCTCCATGTACTTCGGAGGTCACTTCAAGCAGTATTTTAGGTCCCTCCTCGCCATGCACCTCCTGCGGAACCCCTAAAAGTACAGCTATGCCCCTTTGAGAGCTTTCCTCGCTCAGGCCACCCCCTCCCTGTGCGTGGCTCAGGGCTGTCTGTGAAGTGTTAGTCCTCAGGACTAACCCGTTTTCTCACCCGACCCGCAGATGATGTGCTGCCGATTTTCGCCTACCCCCACAAGCTGGGCAAATCAGTCACTGGGGGCTACGTGTACCGGGGCTGTGAGTACCCCAACCTCAACGGCCTCTACATTTTTGGCGACTTCATGAGTGGGTAAGTGGCCTAAATGGCCAATCCTCTCCCCGACGGGTAAAAGAAATGCGCTCTTGTATTTGTGTGCCCAGGAGTGGAGCAAACAGGTCTCTTCCTCAGGGAGAAAGTCCCGGTCATTCTCAGGAGAATGATGGGTAGAATGAAGAGGTCTGTGCAAAGACAGACAGACAGATGGATAGGTGGTTGGAAGAATGAGTGGATGGACAGGTGGATGAATGGGTGTGTGAATGACTGGATGGATGGATTTCCTTGTGTAACACACTAGCCCTGACCTCACAGCTCTCCTTCCTTTGCAGGCGACTGATGTCCCTCCGAGAGAACCCAGAGACAGGCCAGTGGAAGTACAGTGAGGTCTGCATGGGCCGTGGACAGACATGCGCTTTCCCAGGCCTCATCAACAACTACTACCCATACATCATCTCCTTCGCAGAGGACGAGGCTGGTGAGCATCCAGAGACCCTCTGTCCTCGGCCGCTGCTTGGGATTGTAACCACCAACCCTGGTCATCCTTCTGGTCTCTGACATTAAAGGAGCCTCAGCTCCTTTCATGTGGGGAGGGGTGTGCTCTGAGGGTTGGGCTTTCTCCTTGGGAGTTCTTGACTCAGCCCTAGACCTTCCTGAGCCTCCCCGTTCTTATCTGGAAACTCAGAGAAGTGGCCGTGCCCCACCCCCACGGTGGGGCTGATGGGCGAGCTGGAGACATAGTCCCTGGTGTTAGCACGGTCAGGGATGACCTGGAATGTGGAATTGTAGGCAGGGTGAGAGAAGAGCTGGGTTCCCCATGGCAAATGTATCTGAGCCGCCGAGGAAACCAAGCTGACGTTTCAAGGCAGGCAGGCACAGCCTGCTAGCCTGTTCCTGGATCTCACATTCCCAGCAGGGCACAGAGGGGGAAGGGAGGGAAGAAAGGACCACAGAGGCTGGGTCCCACTCCAGCATCCCCGCCTTTGTCCTTGGCCCTGGGATTGTTCCCTGACAAAAGGCCAGGGGCCCCCAGCAGGCCCTGGTGCAGGCTTGTTGAAGTTTCCAGGCAACGCTCACCACAGTCTTTGGATGGGTATCCCCTGCAGGGCCCAGTGCCCAAAGCCCTCAGGGCCTAGTCTGGGAAATCTTTGTTGAACTGACCCCCCCTTCATTAGCATATGAGTTTCCCAAAGGGCAGCCCCAGCCCCAGCCCCTTGGAGGTTCTTAAGCTCATCAAGCCCTTAGAAGCCTTTTCTTTTGGTCAGTAGGGGGTTAACATGATTTAGAAGCAGCATTTCCCCTCCCCAATGCAGAGTCTGGAGGAAGGAACAGTTCTCAAGGGCCCTTCCTCCGTCCTTTGAGTGACACAGAGTGACAAAACCAGGAGGAGGCGCTGCTGAGCCGGCCAGCCCGAAGCCAGCCCTGATCAGTATCAGTGCTGCCAGCCAGGGTAAAGCAGCCCCTCCTGGCTCCTGGCTCTCTAGCTGCGCTTTGGAAACATTGAATGATGTTACAAGGACCTCTGCTGCCCCAGTGATCTTCAGGGGCATTCACAGCACAGAGACCAAGAGGACAGGGCCACCCCAGGCAGCACTGGCAGCTTCAACTTGGTCCTTATGCATACATAGCACGTGGGGAGCCCGCTTCCATAGCTAGCAGAATAGGCCTAGTTGAACCCCATGGAAGCAGGGAGTAGCGTAAGGCTGGATGGAAGAGGGAGCCTCTATGGGCCTAGGCAAGATGAGACATCTGGGGACTGTGCTATAGAGGACAACAAAGGCATGGTGAGGTGACAGGTGGCCAGAACACCCCCTCAGCATTGGTGGAGGTCAGGATCAGCCTCTGAACCCGGGGGAGTCTGGGTGCGACGGGGCTGCCTACATTGTGTTGCAGGCAGGGTTTTCACTCGTTGCCTTGTTCCCTGTCCAAAGGGGAGCTGTACTTCATGTCCACGGGCGTGCCTAGTGCCACAGCCGCACGCGGGGTCATCTACAAGGTGATAGACCCCTCCAGGTGAGTCCTTTAACTGTCCGCAGAGACGGTATGTTCCCCCATCTTCACTTAACTCCCTCATGCCCACCTCAATCTACCTGCTTCAGTTTTTGCTGTGAGGCTCCCTCCTTGGTTCAAAGCCTACTCCAACTCCTTCTGTGTCCAGCAAAGCCCTCTCAGATCCCCACTGTATGAATGAAGCCAGGGTCACTAACCGTTGTCAGCGTGTCCAGTGGGTACCAACCTGTAGCCTCAGGGGCCTTCCTGATCCACTTGCCTTCCTGTCCTACCTGGTCCTCTCTCAGTTGTCATTGTTTGGCCTCGGCCTCTCACCTGCCCAGAGTCTCTAGGATGAAGGTTGTGCCTCCTCACCCAGTCACACCCTTCAGATGGTGTGACTGGTGCAGAGCAGACACTAGGGTGTGTTTAATGAATGGATGTATGATGAACTTTAGGTTCTAGAACCCCCTTCCTGGACTGTAGATTTTTTTTTCTTCTCCCTCAGAGTAGCCAGTGACCCTAAACTTTGAGACACACTGAATGTAAAGAAATCCTAAAACACGTCCTGAACCTAAAAATGTGCTTTTCAGCCAGACATAGTGTAAGCATTTCAACCCATCGGATGGGATTGGACAGGGAGGGATTCTGGCACTCGGGAACAAAAGAATACTGAGTGTTACAGCTCAGATATAAAGGTATTCTGGCAATCGGGAACCAAGGAGTACCACAGCTCACAGTAACCATAGCAGCTTACAGCTTTGCTTCAGGGAAAGGCTTCCCTAGTGTATTAGCTCTGTTCTGGAAGGAGATTTCCCTAGCAAAGTTGTTACAATTCAGCTCTGGTCCCCAAGAGCCGGAGTGTAACAACTTCACTTGCCACGAGAAAGTTTCCCCAGAGAAAAGTGTTACAGCCCTGTTCTGCTCTGGCGAAAGAAGGTCTCACCCAAACCTCATTCAAGAGATTTATTGGGAGGAAAGAATCCAGGAGAGTGGCTGCCTTCTGCCAGTGAGGCAGAGGACAGCCGAGCAGCCCAAACAGCCACAAGGTGAACAGACACAGGGTTTATATAGGGCTTCTTAGGAGGCAGAGTTCTGTCCCCTCCCAGAGATTTCCATGGTGGGGATTGGTCAGATTTCAATCCCTGAGCTCAGAATGGCTAGATCTCCTGCTCAGGGATTGGTTGGTTTTCAGGACAGGTTTAGGGTCAGATTTGGCTCTGGTTTCAGGGCCAAAGTGTGTTTCTTTCTCTGGTCCTTTTTTAGCCTTTGGCTCTAATTTTAGGACCAGAGTCTATTTCTTTCACTGGCTCTGATTCCAGGGGCAAAGTGTGTTTCTTTGGCTCTGCTCAGGGTGTATTTCTTTGGCTGGACCTTTTCCCCTACACATAGGGGTATATATTTGTAACCCCAGCTATTTAGGAGGCTGGGGCAGGAAGACTGCAAGTTTGAGGTTAGCTTCTGAGAGGTGTAAGCTAGCCTAGGCAATTTAGTGAAATCATATATATATATATATATATACATATACATATATATATATATATATGTAGAGAGAGAGAGAGAGAGAGAGACTGGGGGTGGGCAGACTAGGAATATAGAGGGCTTATTTGGCATGCACAAGGCCTGGAGTTAGCTGTCTAGTTCATTAAAAAAATTTATTATGCTTTATTTGTTTTTACTTTATACGCACTGGTATTTTGCCTACATGTATGTCTGTGTGAGGATTTTGGATTCCCCTGGAACTAGAGTTACAGTTGTGAGCTGCCATGTGGGTGCTGCGAATTGAAGCCAGGTCCTCTGGAAGCTCACCCAGTGCTCTCCAGCCCCTCTCCAGTTTATTTTTGATGTCACTGTCTGTGTAGAAGACAATGATTACTACAGAATAGCAAGAAGCACTTCCAGGGGTGTCATTGCAGAGTCTCTGCTCACTTCCCCAGAGTGAGAGCAGCCAGTGGCCAGAAAGGACAGTGTGTGACGCAGATTCTCAAGGGAGAAAGTAATCAGCGACAAGGGGGCCACTGTGCCAGCCTAATGTTTGGGTAGGTTTTGTGTATTTCCTAAAGTCTCCAAAATGTACGGCTTCTGGAGGGGCATTTTCTTCAACAGGTGATTGTGTGTGTGTGTGTGTGTGTGTGTGTGGTGTGTGTGTGTGTGGTGTGTGTGTGTGTGGTGTGTGTGTGTGGTGTGTGTGTGTGTGTGGTGCATGGGTGTAGGTGTGTTTGCGTGTGTGTGGGTGTGCATGGTGGAGACCAGGGGTCAACAAGGTTGGGTGTCTCCCTCTTTTGCTCTCCACCTTATATATTGAGGCAGGGTCTTTCTCTTGAACCCAGAGCCCATAGTTGGTACTCTGGCTAGCCAGCTTGCTTCAAGGATTCTCAGTCTCTACTCGGGGTTACAGTTTGTTTTGTCTACCTTGTAGTGGCATGAGTGCTGGGATCCCAACTTCAGTCCTCACTCTGTGTGACAAGGGTTTGCACCAAGTCATCTCCCAGGCCTGGATGAACTCTCTCTCTCTCTCTCTCTCTCTCTCTCTCTCTCTCTCTCTCTCTCTCTCTCTCTCTCTGTCTCTCTCTCTCTCTCTCTCTCTCTCTCTCTCTGTCTCTCTCTCTCTCTCTCTGTCTCTCTCTCTCTCTCTCTGTCTCTCTCTCTCTCTCTCTCTCTCTGTCTCTCTCTCTCTCTCTCTGTCTCTCTCTCTCTCTCTGTCTCTCTCTCTCTCTCTCTCTCTCTCTCTGTCTCTCTCTCTCTCTCTCTCTGTCTCTGTCTCTCTCTCTCTGTCTCTCTCTCTCTCTCTCTCTGTCTCTCTGTCTCTCTCTCTCTCTCTGTCTCTCTCTCTGTCTCTCTCTCTCTGTCTCTCTCTCTCTCTCTCTCTCTCTCTCTCTGTCTCTCTCTCTCTCTCTCTCATACAGGTTTTCTCTATTATGTAGCTCTGTATGTACCAGAACTCTTTCTGTAAACCAGGCTGGCCTCGAACTCACAGAGACCCACCTTTCTCTGCCTCCCAAGTGCTGGGATTAAAGGTGAGGGCCACCACTGCCCAACTTATGACATAACTTCTTATCATAAAAGCCATGAGCGGGCTCCCTCCGCTATTTGCCTCCCTCTTGTTTCCCATCCGCTTTCATCTCAGTGAGCCTAGTTCTCATCTCATTTGCTTGTCCCTGAGGCGTGTCATTGTCTCCATGGCATCATCACTCCCAAAAGGATGCTTGCCGGTCCTCGTCTGCTGAGTCACTGAGCCACCATCGTCTTGCATAGTTCTTGGACGCTGAGGTTATTCTCATTTAAAAAAATATGCTGGGGCTGGAGAGACTCAGTGACTAAGCATGCTGGCTGCTCTTCCTGAGGACACAGGTTAGGTTTTCAGCACCCGTGTGGTGGCCCACAGCCATCTGTAACCAGTCTCCGAGATCAGACGCCCTCTGGTGGCTCTACACTCATGTGGTGCACAGACCTACCTGGTGGCGAAACACTCACACACATAAGATAAAAACTAACTTTCTAGGGGGGTGGGGGTGAGAATGGTTCTCTAAGGACCTGTCACGTGTACTGCCGGATGTCACTTTAGCTGCCTTCTGGCCTTTAATTTTGCAGCACCCTCTCCCTCTTGGTTCATTGTTCCTGCTATGGAGAGAGGACTCAGCAGGACTTTGATTTTTTTTTTTTCCTCTCAAGTTCTTGGGGTTAGAGGCAGGCAAAAGTGGTGGGACTCCTCTCTTCTATCTTCCTCTTTTGGAAGAAGTGTGTTTCTCATATGGATGAGGAAGACAGGGAGGAAGACCCAGGGGCCACAGCTCACTGCCTGGACAGAAGCACTGTGGTGTTTTGCAGTGTGGCGTGCAAAGATTTTTTTTTAATTAGTTTCCTTAAGAGACAACACCCTCCTCCCCTTTCCCAATGGGAGGTCAGAGTAGAGACGGCTGTACTTCCAGCTTTGGGGAGTCTGTGTGTCTTGCAGAGGCACATGGCCCCTCCTCTGCCAAGTCTATCAGGAGGCCACTTCATCATGTGGCCATTTCAATCCCAGGCTGGCGGAACCCCATTGAAGTCCTGGACCCACATGGGGCAGTCTGGGAACAGGGTCGGACCCATTCAAAGAATCACAGATCAACGGCCAAAAACTAATTAAGATGGAACTCTGGTCCTTGTGTTTCTTCAGGATGGGCAAGGAGGCTGCTCACAGCCTGGCAACTTTCCTCAGATTCTTTTCTCTGAACTGCAGGCCCCACGGCTGTGCTGGGCCTGCTGAAGCCAGCTTCCCACGACTCCTCTCTTCGGCCCACTATGTCTTTTAGCTTGCCTTAACTGTTTCACATCTCTCCAGGCCTATGTACCACCAGAAAACAGAGGCAGGGAGAGAGACTCTTCTCAAAGGCCTGGGGTGGAGGGGGTGGGCAGGAATGGGGCATTAAAGGAGTGGGGTGGGCAATGTTGGGGGGGACTTTGGAGGGGCCAGGTGCTGTAGGGTCCATTAAGAGCTGTTCAGGAGCTGGACACTAGTTACTGCTGTCTCTGATGACACTTGTCTGGCCCGTACCCTCTTTGCTGTAAGGGAGGGTGATGGGGTAATGGCGGGGAGTGGGGACTCTCAAGGCTGACTCCCAGTCCTCATCTTCTGTGTGTGTTTGGCAGACGGGCGCCTCCAGGGAGGTGTCAGATACACCCTACTCAGGTGACAGTGAAGAGCCGCCTCGTCCCCTTTGTGCCCAAGGAAAGTAAGTGTTCTCCAGTTGGAGAAGGAGTTTCTGCTACACCTCAGGTCAGAAGGGGGCCCCAGAAGGACCTAGAATGCTTCCGCAGCCCCTGTACCTAGCCCTGTGTCCGACACCTTTTAGAGACCCAGTGAGTGTCAACAGACCCACAAGTACAAGGCATCTTGTTTGATAGAACCTTCAGCCTGGTTCCAGGCAGTTGGGATGTAACCACAGGGGCCTGCAGCCTTAGGCAGGATGTGGCAAGAAGAGTATAGCTGTATCAAGCAAGGAATACTCAAAATTTCTTGGGAGGAACACAGAGAGAGGATGTCTGTGAGTAAGGTGGTGGAGCATTTGGGCGGCGCCTTCCATACTTTCATTTTGATCCTCTTCGTTCAGGACAGAAGGAGCCATGAGTAAACCCTGTGTTCTGAAGGCCATTCAAGGCTGTGAATGACTGCCTGGGATAGAGTCTTGTGAAAAGGTAGAGGGGGCTATTCCATTGGGTCCAAGCTAGGTAGGAACAGTGGCTTGGGATAGTAAAATCTTTTGCATACCAAGAGATGAAGGAAATCCATTTTGTCCATCCATCAACTCATCAGCCATCCATCCACTCACAATTCACTCATCCATTCACCCATCATTCATCAACCCACCCATCATCATCCATCTACCTACTTGCCCACCCCATCCATCAGTATACCTATCCATCATCCATTCATCCATCAGTCCATCCACTCACTCATAAATCCATCTATCATCATCTATCTAGCCATCCACCCAAACATCAATTCATCTCCCCAACCATCCATCCAGACATTAAGTCATTCACCCACCCATTATCCAATTGCTCATGAATCCATCCATCCATTCACCATCTATCTATCCATCTACCCACCCAACCACCCAGCATCCATCTAGCTATTATTCATCCATCCATCCATCCATTCATCCATCCATTCATCCATCCATCCATCCCTCATCCATCTTGTCAGCCAGTCACCATTCATCCAGAAAGCCATTATTCATGTAGTCATTATCCATCCATCCACTCAGCTATCTTCTATCCAGCAACCCATCTGTCTTAGTTAGGGGTTCTATTGCCTTGATAAAACACCATGATCAAGAGCACCGAAGGGTTTATTTCTGCTAATAACTTTCGGGTTACACGCCATCACTGAGGGAAGTCAGGAACACAAGGCAGGAACCTGGATGCAGAGGTCATGGAGAACATTTTTTTACTAGCTTGTTTGCTCATGACTTGCACAGCCTGCTTTTTAAATATGACTCAGGACCACTTGCCCATTTGGCCAACTTTTTTATCTATCTATCTATCATCTATCTATCTATCTATCTATCTATCTATCTGTCTGTCTATCTATCTATCATCTATTTATTTTTGGTTTTTGGCTTTTCGGGACCAGGTTTCTTTGTGTAGCCCTGACGAGAAGCCCTGACTATACCGGGACTCATTCTGAAACTATTGTTTGCTTCCATCTTTGTGGCCTTTGTTTCCTCACCAAAAACCGAGGACAGGAAGCAGTAAGCCCCTTGTTCCTGTAAGCTGTCCAGACATCTCCCTTACTGTGCCTGGATTTCAGGGTCTTCCCACTGGCCTGGGGACTCCTGGGAGGGCAGAGCTTGGGACAGACAGCAGTAGTGGCCTGGCATAGCACCTGCCTGCCAACCAGGGCTTTTTGAGTAACTTGAAGAAGCGACTGACACAGCGCTAGGCTAGCGTCCTTAGGGGTCAGGGTGACCCGTCAAACCCAGTAGGCCCCCCCAAGAAGCAGCCTAATCTTGGAATCTGAGTGGAGCCAGACCAGGCATCTTTCCTTAGCATCTGTTTTCCTGGCACAGACTGGGGGCTGGGCGGGTGGGGAGTCGAGCTAGGATGGAACAGCAGGTTCTCTCTGACCCCAGGCTTTTCCTCTGCACAGGGTTTATCCGGACACCAGAGAGCACTCCTCGACCCACGGCCCGCGCCCCCACTAAGGCGCCCCGTCGCAGACGCCCCACAGCCGCTCCCCCAGCGCCCACCCAACGGCCCACAAAGCCCACAAAGCCAGCACGGCCCACCCGGCGACCAGGGGCCCGGAAGGGAGGCGGGCGACGGCGGGGACGTCCCAGCACCGCGGTCCCTGAGCCCCAGAACGGCTCGGTGCGCCTGGTACGGCCCGCGGGCCTGAGTCCCGGCCGCGGGCGCGTGGAAGTGTTTGTAGGCGGACACTGGGGCACGGTGTGCGACGATGCCTGGGACACCAAGGCGGCCGCCGTGGTGTGTCGCCAGCTGGGCTTTGCGCACGCGGTGCGAGCCGCCAAGCGCGCGGAGTTCGGCGAGGGCCGTGCACTACCGATCTTGCTGGACGACGTGCGCTGCGCGGGCAGCGAGCGCAACCTGCTGGAGTGCGCGCACGCTGGCGTGGGCACGCATAACTGTAAGCACGAAGAGGACGCTGGCGTCGAGTGCAGCCACCAAGACCCGGACCTATAGCCAGGCCTCACCTGGCTGGCTGTGCCACCCTGTGAGGATGGAGCCTAGAATGGCCCCTTCGGTCTGCGGGCACCCTGGGCAGCACGCACAAGGGCCCAAGAGACGGTTCATCTTCATGTGACCTCAGTGTCCCCTTGTGCTGTGTGTGGTTTGTGGATAAGATCTCTTATCTCTCAGCACTTCGGAGAGCGAGGGCAGTGACTCTTCAGGAGCAGCACTGGGTGGGGGAGGCTGGCTGCCTTTTCAGTGTTAGGCTGGGGGGAGGGGTCAGGCCTCCCCTGCCAGGGCTGAGTGACAGGTTCCAGACTAGCAAGGGTGCAGCCTGAGAAACAGGGTCAGAGTGTAGGCGGGTGACCCATCAGTCCGAAGCACCGCAGAAAAAGAACAGGCAGTCTGAAAGCCACAGAGAAGGATCTTATAGGGTAAGGGGTCCTGTGGCCATTTGCAGCCCACCAGGGATCAGGCTGCTGATGGGAATAAGAGCCCACGAGGGAAAGCAGACTAGAGGGCCTGGAGGGCCTTGGAGGCCACTTGCTGCGCCCTGCAGGCACCCTGGAAAGGTTACTGGGTCCCCTCCATCCCTGAAGCCTGACCCTGAGACAGAAGCACCCTTAAGCTCACACTTGGTCCCTTTAGCCTCTGGGCTCCAGTTGGCAGGTGGGTGTGGGGCAGTACTTTCATCCTCTACTGTCGCCATCACCTCCCAGGGGGTCCTCAGATTCCTTGGCTCCATCTATGGGCTAAGAAACCTGTGGGACCGCGAGACTACTCATCTCAACAATTTGACTGTCTGCAATCCTTCCTTCCTCCTGTCACTCGCCACCACCTGGAAGCTCGGAAGCAAGCAGAGGGACAGAGTAGAGAGGGCGGGGCCTGTAGCTTGTCTCCTTGCTCATGGAAGGCCTCAGGGTAGCTCTGTACCCGGTCCTAGGAGAGAGCTCTGGGTAAAAGCTTCAGATAGGGGTGGAGCCATGGAAACAAACGAGTTACCAGGCAGGGAGAACAGGATGTGGCCTGTGTCAGGCAGTTGTGGCTAGGGATCTGGGTTAGGTTCCCGGCCCAACCTGAGCGGGAAAATGTCATTCCCGCACTGAGTTCTGATCTGAAGAGGCCTGTGTGGTGGTCCAGGCAAAGGAACTGGTGCAGACTCAGGCTGGGTGATGTCTACTCCTGTTCATCGCTGCTGAGAGGGCAGCACTGCTGACAGGGAACTGGAGGGTCACTCTGAAGCTTTGGAGGCTGGTCGTTCTCAGAAATAAGTGAGAAAGTTACTGAACAGTTAGGAAACAACAGGAAAGGAAAACATCGCTTCCCGGAGCAAAACTGTGCAGCCACAAGGCTGGGGGGCCAGGGAGCCCGAGTCCTAGGCAGCTTTGCAGTGCAGTTCCAGAGGCGGTGCAGAGTGTGTACACAGTCGATTCTGGTTGCTGACAGGAGGGGAGGCTTGGGCGTGGAGGAGAGTATGCTGAGCAGGTGCACTTGGTTTGTTAGGCTAGCTGGGAAGGTTTGTTGTTGGTTTTTCTCTTTACTCTTACTCTTTTGGGGGCTGCCACCCAGCTCCCAAATAAATACACGGAGGCCAGCCGTGTCAGAGGGGGGAATGCCATATGGAGGCACTAGCTTTGGGGTGACATAGGAAGAAACAAACCAAATGAGAAAAGTGAGCCCCTTCAGGCTAATGCGGAGAACTCTAGGCTCCCAGTTGGGCGCCTGGCCTCTCACCCACTTGGTGAAGAAGCGACCTTCATGCAGAACTTGCTGTTTGCAGGGGCCTCGGGTGTGTTGTCAGTTTACTTCGCCCCATGGGGCCCCCAGCACTCCCAACATCACCATCTCTCTCTCCATCCTCGTGGTGGCTGTAAATTGGTGCCCGGGGCTTTGGTCATGGTGTTCTGTCTTAGCAATAGAAACGCCAGCGCAGGTAACATTTACAGTAGCAGTTCGCAGTTTTATGTGAGCGGCAGGGCCCCGTGTTGATTTTGACTCAGGCGTGGGCTTTGTTGTTTGGGTTTCTGTGTGTTGAGACTGCTGTGACCCAAGGGCCATACTCTGGGGTTGCTGTCTGTGTCCCACTGCCCGATGGAAGTATGTGAACCATGCAGGCAGCCAAGTTTCCTGAAGTTGTGTTAAGGGTAAAATATTTTTTACTCTTTAATTAAAAACTATAAACTGGGCAGTTGTGTTCATGTCCTTAATCCCAGCTCTCAGGAAGCAGAGCCATCCTGGTGAGTTCCAGGACAGCCAGGGCTATACAGAGAAACCCTGTCTCAAAACAACAGACAAAAGCATTATTTAGTATGTATTGGTGTTTTGCATGTGTTATGTCTGTGCACCATGCATGTGCCTGGTTTCTGCTGAGGCCAGAAGAGGGCTTTGGAGTCCCTGGAACCAGATGATTATGAGCCACCATGTAAGTGCTAGGAATAAAATCTGGGTCTTCTAGAAGAGCATTCAGCGCTCTTAACTGTGGAACCGTCTCTCCAGTCCCCCTTCATTTTGAAATATTTTATTTAATTCGGAATATTTTAACAGGCAGACAATATAAAATACCAGGGCTGGAGAGATGGCTCTATTGATAAAGTGTTTGATCCCCAGGACCCATTTCATATATGGGTGCTCATACACAAATATATGATCAAATACTAATGACATAATAAAACTTCTAGGACTTGGCATGGTGGCGTACACTTGAAATCCCAGCCATGGTGACGGGGGAGTTGGAGACTGGCAAACCCAGCTAGCCTAGGCCACTTGATAAAGTTCCAGGTCAACGAGGGACCTTGTCTCAGAGAATAAGATGCTTCTGAGAATGGATACCTGAAGCAGTGTTCTTGATCTCCAGGTGTACGGGCAACTTCACCACACACACACTAAGGTATCAATGACTTAAAAGCAACTTTTGCCGGGCAGGAGAGGTGACTAGGCAGTTAAGGGTTCTTATTGCACAAGAACTGTGGTTTAGATTCCAGGACCCACCCAACACACCAGACATCCCGTTGACACCTCTAGCCCAGCCCCAAGGGGAATAGAGGTATGCCAGACGCCCTGTTCACACCTGTGACCTGGCTCCAAGGGGGAACAGAGACAGGATTGCTCTGCTGACTTGTCACAGGTTTTCTTTTGGCCCCCCAGCCAGCTCCCAAATCATGATGCAGAGTCTTAATGCTCGGCCTTAGCTTAGCCTCATGTCTTGCTAGCTCTTTAATTTAACCTGTTTCTCTTCATCTACATTTTGCCTTGGGCTTTTTACCTTTCTCTCATTCTGTAGGTCCTATTCCATGTCTGGCTGGCTGCTACCTGGCTGGCTGGCCTGGGCTTCTCCCTTTCTTCCGCTCCCATTCTCTCTTCTCTCATCCTCCCTTGACGTTTCTCCTACTTATTCTCTCTGCCCACCAGCTCTGCCTAGTCCTCTACTGCCTAGCTATTGGCCATTCACCTTTTTATTACACCAATCAGGTGCCTCAGGCAGGCAAAACAACACATCTTTACATCGTTAAACAAATATTCTGCTATATAAACGAAACACATAACCTTCATAGTTAAGGTAATATTCCACAACACTGGCTTCTAGCCTAGCCGAGAAAATGTGAGTCCCGGTTTCATGGAGAGACTGTCTCGAAGGAATAGGTGACGAGTAACAGAGGACACCTGACATCCTTTTCTGCTACACACACACACACACACACACACACACACACACACACACACACAAATTCTGGCTATTAAATTCCTGAAATCTAGTATATATTTTAGACAATGCATATACACACAACACATAGTTGGACTATGCCTCTTTCAGTTTATAGTCTCATGTGGCCTGTGGCTGCCCTATTGGTGGTATTAGTGTAGATCTCAGTGCTTCGCTGGCCATTGGCCACCTAGGGCAGCCGGCCAGCCCTGGGACGCAGGGCCTTGCTGAGCAGTCCCCAACTAATTACAGAGAGTTAGGAGCATAAGATGGAGGCATAGGAACAGAGCAGATGTGGGGCCTGAGGGGTCACTATTGACACACCCTAGCCAGGAACAGGGAGAGAAGTGTGTGTGTGTGTGTGTGTGTGTGTGTGTGTGTGTGATCTGACCCTGCTGAGCCAGAAGTCCCAAATGTTGTCTGATGTGTCAGAGGATACTGTTACCTCCCCCCTTCCTTAGCTTTTCCTGTGTGGACTGCCCACAGCCCATCAGAAGTTGGCCTTGCCTCCAGGGAACCTCTGTTCAGCGTCCAGGCAGACATGACAACACAAAGTTAGCTTCACACAGCTTGCGATGTCTTCCAAGCTCAGGATGGGCCTTCATAACTTGCCCCTAAAGCGATCATGCACGGGCCACTGTGTCCCCTCCTACAGTATAGTAGATTGAACCCAGGACCTTGCATTGCGCATTTACAGACAGGCACTAACCCAAGCACTAACGCTAGATTGCTTATCTTTTTTAAAGTTGCTTTCTCTGTATTGTTTTGGAGGCTGTCCTTATCTTTTTTAAAGTTTTAAGACAGGGTCTTAAGTTGCCCAGGCTTGAGAGTTCAAGGCCTAGATTTTTCTTTTTTTTAATTGAGACACTCTCCGTAGCCCTGGCTGTCTCTGTAGTCCTGGTCTGCTCTGCTTTCTGAGTGCGGGGATTCAAGGCGTGTCACTGCGCCCACCTGGTCTCGAACTTTTGATCCTTCCTCCAGTGTGCGCCATTATGCCCCACGCCTTTCTTCCACCCGAAAGCATGGAAGAAGTCTACACGCTCCTCGAAGCCTCATTCTCTCCCACCACACCACACGCCCCAATCCAGAAACTCTCACAAATGGCCAAACCAGATTGGCTGACCTTCCTCTGCCCCAGCAGAGGCCATCCGAGGTCCCGCCTGCGCACCTGCGACTGCCGCTCGCTACCACACGGGGGCGCAGTGGCAAGCTACATTCCACCAGTGCCACTCTCACCAGTCCTGGTTAGACTCCTGACTTCCCGACCTGCTCAGGCTGCGATGTCTTCTCCAGGCCGAACTCAAGCCCCTTCGGTACTGAGCACAGCTCCCAAAGCTCTCTGTCACCCTGCAACTCACCCGCCTCTGCCATGTCCCTCCTGGGGCCTGGTTCTAGTATGCCTGGAAATGTGGGTACCCAGCTCTCCTGTTTGTCAGTCTTCAAACCCCTCCAGGACCTATTCAAGGTGGGGTAGCCGGAAATCCAGCCCCTAGACTCTTTATCTGGTCTAGGAGAGTGCACATCTGGACCTCCTCCCCTCCGCGGCAGGCCACACTGAGCGTCGCCCCCCACCCCAATCCGGGAATTGAAACTCGGAAGTGAGACGTCCGAGGCGCGCTCCGCGCTCACACCCGATGGAAAGGCGGAGCGCGCACCAGCACACTCCTATGGACCATGATCCGCAGTCAGGATCAGGGTTTCTCCGGGTGTGGGGACTCCCGCGTCCCGCCTCTGGGTGGACGCGGGAGCACGGCGGGCGCACGGCTTGCACCGGCCGGCAGTGGAGGCGCAGCGCAAGGACATTTGGGGATGACCAACTTTCTTGCGCTGCGGTTTCAGGGAGAGGTTTGGGAACAGTCAGCGTACGACGGGATTTGGACGGAAGGGGTACGGTTTCCAGAAGGTTTGCTCGAGAAAGGAAGAGGCCTGGAACGCACGCGGAGAGGCATTTGGGGGTGCCAAAGGGGCGGAGCCAGCGGGCAGGATTTGCGCCACCGCCAGGGCAGAGTGTGCCCAGGAAGCCAGGTTGCCAGGACAACGCGTTCTGGGCGGGACCAACTTTGGGGCGGAGCCTGAACACAAGGGAGGTGAGAAGGGGCGGGGTCTTGGAGTCTGAGAAGAAAACGAGGTCGTGATTGGTGAATACTTCCTGCTCTGGGCGGGAACGGCGTGGCGGCCGGGGCCGGGCCTCGGGGAGGGCGTGGCTGTGCGGGGGCGGGTTCTGCAAGCCGGAGCCGGAGGCGGAGACGTGGTTGGCGGGTCCGCGTGCCCGGGGCGGGGTCGAGCCGGCGGGGGCGGAGCCGAGCGGCGGGGGCGGTGCTGGCGAGCGCGGGGCCTGGGGCCGAGGCGGCGCGCGGCGCTGACAGCTAGTCGGTCGCGGCCTCCGGCCCCCTCGGCACCCGGCGCCGACCCCGGCCGGGTCCGGAGCCATGAGCCCGGGGCTGCTGCTGCTCGGCAGCGCCGTCCTGCTCGCCTTCGGCCTCTGCTGCACCTTCGTGCATCGCGCTCGCAGCCGCTATGAGCACATCCCCGGGCCGCCGCGGCCCAGGTGAGCGGGGCGTGGGGGTGGGGGCCTGGCTGGGGAGCTCGATCCGGGGGGGTCTAGGGACCGTGTCCGAGCCCGCGTCCGGGCCGGGGGTCCAGCTTTGCCTTGTACGCGCGGCCAGCTGGGAGACGCAGGCCCGGAGAGGGGCGCTAACTATTCTTAGTAACAAATTACTCACAGCCGCAGTAGCTGCTGGGCGCCCATCGCGCTTGGCTGGGCCACACAAATGTGATGGCAGCGACAGTCCTGTCAGGTAGGCGCTGCTGTTACCCCATCGTTCAGACCTGGAGACTGAGGCGCCCGGAGGCGAAGTCAGTGGTCCAAGGTCACACAGTTGGTAAGCCTAGATTTAAACCCAGGTCAGCCTGCTTTCAAAGTGGGAATTGCTAACTTTGGGACTTGGACAGAGCCAACCTGTTCAAGTATAGAGCATTGTACTTCCGTCACATTTTCCCTGTGTCATTGTTTCTGCCCTGGGACATCCCATTTGTCCTCAGTATTTCCATCCCGTTCTTGGCCCTCACCCAGTTTACCAACGGCCCCCGTTACAAGCTGACCTTTCTTTTCCTTCTTGAGACAAGGTCTCTCTACGTAGCACTGGCTGTCCTGGAACTCACTATGTAGACCAGGCTGCCCTCAAACTCACAGAGAGATCAGTCTGCCCTCTGCCTCGCAAGTACAGGGACTAAAGGCGTGCGCCACCATGCCAGGCAAAAGCTTTCTGAATGAAGCTTAGAGTCAATGTGTTACGGCCGTGCCCCAGGGCTTCCCATCACTTTGGAACTGAAAAACCCAGTTCCACCTGAAGCATACTGCTTAGCTAGCACGGCCCCTGCTGAACTCACAGTCCTGCTCAACACCTGGCCCCTCTTGCCCCTCTTGCCCCCGGTCTGACCCTGCATCCCTCCATCGGACCTTTCTGTTCTCTTTCTCAGTCCTG